GTCAGAAACATAATCCCAAATACATTCGAGCCAACGGTCCTGTTTGCATGTTCGGCAAGTCCCATCCCAGCATCAAAAATCTATTTAACTCTTACTGCAAATCTCTCAATAGCGAACTCGAAGAGTCCAATTCCCCCAACCCCCAAAATCCCAAGGAGGGAAGAATGTGACAAACCTTGGCATTCTGGCGTCCTTGGTACCCTTTCTCTTACCGAAACCGCGATGTCGTCCGATTTTTCTAGCCTCTGCGAGCTCCCGGGCTCTGGAACGTGAGTGCATGGTCACAGGCTTGTGGATGATGAGGCCATCGCTCAAAAGCTTGCGGATGGTCTGGCGGGAGTTGGCGGTGGAGATCTCGTTAACTTCATTGGGATCGAGCCAGATCTTGCGTTGGCCGCAGCCGACCACGGAGGCCGCCAGGCGCTTCTGGGTGCGAAGGTTGACCCTGCCATTGTCAAGAAACAGTGGTTTTTTTTGTCAGTCAGAAATTCTCCACTGGATTTGTGGATTGTGTATGCGCGCTACTGGAGAGCGGACGGATATTATTGCGTTCAAATTTGCGGAAGCTGGGCAGAATGGTGCTGCGGAGACTTGGAGTAGATGAAATATGGATGGCCGTGGGAGATGCAGAAGGGACTTACATCTTGATGCCGGATATTATCGATGGTCGGTCGTTGACGGATTGGATGTTCGAATTCCCACAATCAATATTGACGACGGCAGATTTGCGTTTGGGGTTGGGGAATTGGCCGCTTAGCTAAGCAGGCAGCTAAGCGAGCGAGAGCCCGCACTTAGGGCTTTCATGCGCTAGGCTTTATTCGGATACTACGGGCTTGGCAATATTGACAACTTTATCATAATGCGGCTCTTCGTTTCTTGTGGAATTGAGAGGAGCGGAATATAGTGCATCAGATGAGATCTATCAGGTATGATTTTATCGCATACAAAAGTGTAGTGTAGCTGATAGGGACGAGCAGACACAAAAAATAGTGAGTATATTATTCAGCACTACAAACAATCAGCATCAGTCGTCGCCTATCGACTCCTCCAGGTCAATTCTTCCCACACTCCAAACCTCCTTTTCATCCTCAAGCTCATCACTGGAAAGTCCCAATCCCCCCTGGCCACCTTCAGCTTCTCGCCTCTCCCGAGCCTGGTTTGCAAGCTTCAGGGCAACGCGTTTAAAATAATCTTGCATGCTCCGTTTTGTGCCCGTGGGCAGCTCGGCTCCTGCGCCATTCATGTATTTTTCGAATACAGTGGCTCCGGATTCGACTACTGAAAACAGCGCCAAGAAAGCTGCTTCCGCGGCCAGTTTAACTGGTATCACAACATCCCGCACACTAGCAAAGACGTATGGCGCCAGGAGATGGAGATGAGGGCGAATGAGCTCCGGATGCAGACGACTGACTGTTCGAACAATGACCAAAGCTATCCGGCGAGTATCCGTGGGCCCACCGGGCTTGATTACATTGGCAAGAGCTTCTACTAAAGGTTTATCTGTCTCAAAGTTTCGCGTTATGCTCTCTGATAGAAGATACTTGCCTGCCGCAAGAACGCTGTTATCCGATATGAATGTCTGTATTAACAAATATATTAGCTTCCTGACCCTCGATTAAGACCACCCGTGTTGTGCTTACATCTTTGTTCGAAATGCCATTGGATATGACTGATGGGGTCTCAGACGGAAATTTTCCCACGAGAAACGCTGCAGATTCCACCAAAAGCGCATTGAGGTTAAGAATCGAAGAGTGGGATAAGTGAGGCGTGAGGGCACGGCTCCTATCGATATATAGTTAGCCTCTAAATGATACAAAATTAAATTTGTTGTATAATTACTTTATCAGTGGAACGGCAGCAGTAGCTGGAATAGTTTTGACAAGAGCCCCGAGAAGCCCGGCATTTGTAGTATTCATCGCATCTGTTAGGGATCAGTATCAGGGCTCGGACTCTACCAAAAGACTGGCTCCGGAGACATACCATCTCGCTCATTAGACTCGTCGTCAATAAGAGCGAGGATCGCATTTCTAGATGCATCACTCATATTTTTACCCGCTTTGCTTACAACTTCATGCAATGCTTGAAGCATGGCATTTCTAACACCAGAATCGGAGGTTTTAGAACCAGCGACAAGCTCTAGACCACTATATTAGCAGGTTATATTATGCTGCTGACTAGGATAATAGCTTACCAGCTATGAGTGGATCGACCCTAGGCGTTAATGTTATCAGGATTCCTAAACCTTTGGCAGCTCTCTTTCGCGATACATCACTCGAAGTATCCGCCAGTCCTCTGGCGAATGTCCGCTGCAGTTGCGGCAAGAATGGTTTCACAAATAGAGGTATCTTTTCCAGAAGCTTGTTTAGAGCTAAGAAAACGGCGCCTAAAGACATATTGTTAACATGTAGCCACAGGCCTATCAGATTGTCAAGATAACGTACACTTGATATCTACAGATCGCTCTGAGACAACTCTGATCAATGGACCGGTGATTTGAGTGACATATGGTCGTAATGCTTCCGCACTTGTCCTGTCTATTATATCGGCAATAGCAAGTGCAGATTGTACACGCTGGTCCACATTTCCATTGAGAAGCCCTTGAAGAAATATTGGGAATATCGATCCAATTCCTTTCGGTAAGCAAAATCCTGGAAGATCAGATCCTGGAACACCAACTTGCCGCAGAACTTGACGCGTTGGAATGACCAAAACTTCCATTTCCTCCTTTTTTATGTGTGTAGTGAGTTGTGTTAAAGCATCCCATGCCGCTGTCACCACGCCCTTATCGTGGTCATCAAACGAGATAAGCAATACGCGAATCAAATCGGGGTGGTAACGGGAAATATCGACGTCTGTATGGGAGAAGAATTTCCCTAAGCGAGTGGCAGCATTTGCTCGTTTGTGATGATCCTCATGCTTCATCAGCGATAACATTACGCTCATTGAAGCGTTTAGTCCATCATATTCATCCACAGATTCCAAAATAGTATCAAAAGCTTCTCCAATCTCATCCCTGAGCTCATCATCTTTGGTGGAAACAATGGTATCCATAAATGCATTTAATATGGCAGGTAACCTTCGGGTCATAGAAGAACTTGCTACTTCAGCCAACGATGCTAGAGCCTTTGCATTGAATCCAGAGATAGGTGCGGTCAATAATGTTGGAATGAGATTGGGGAGTATCAAGTTGGCTCTCGTAGTTTCCGTCAACAGCGTCAAGAGGGCAGAGAGCGCTTGTTGTGCATCGGCCTCGCATCTAAGAAGATGAAGTAAATTGGGAAGAACCTGGTCAACTACTCGTTTGCCTAGTACTTGTTGCAGGGCATCAAAGGCGTCGGCTGCAGATTCACGCACGGTCTCGTCATGGTCTACCAGGGCAGTCCGCACAATCGATACGAGAATCTTCTCATAATCTTCAAGTGATTCAGCTGAAGCGGAGATGGCGAGCTCTCGTAATGCAATACAAATACCTTGCCTCGAGTCCACGTCGGTAGATGCAACGAGACCGGCTTCCAGCGACGGTAGCAGTGTTGACAAGACCCCTTCTCCAGCCTTCTTGATAAGCTCGCCTAATGCATTTCCGGCAATAACCTTCTGTTCCATGTTGGGACTTGCAAGCCGGCGAATGATGAGCTGGGACAGGGTAGGTACAAGTTCTTTCAGGGTCCGTGGGGTGGCGACTAGTGCTTTCCAAACCGCTATTGCTGCACTTCTTACCAAACCGGAAGTGTCACAGCGACAAATGTAGAGAGAAGAGAGAACCTTGTTGCGTTTTTCCTCTCCCAATACTTCAAGAAGGGATTGGCCAGCTTGTGCAACCTTGTCTTCTTCCTCATCATCCTCTCCTCTATTTTGGATCCCAGTGAGATTGAAGAGCAGGTCGCCAACCAACTCCACGGAGCTCAACCTAATGCGGTAATTGTCATCAGCTAAGCCTCTCTCAAGTTCTGGTAATAAGAGGTCAATGGATTTGGTGGCGAAGTTTTTCACCAGGAGTCGCCCGGCACGCAGGGAAGTCTCGCGGATTGCCTCGACATCATCTGCCAAACCAGCGAGAATAGGGGGAATGATTTTGTTAAGGTAAGAGGCAAAACTGTTTCCAAAACAGGCAGGAAGAAAAACGAAAAGCGACATAAACCCTTCCCTGACTGACGCCTTAGCACTTGACACATTTTGCAAGATAGTAGGCAAAGTTTCTTCGAGGCGCGAAGTACCCAATCCCGCAAGGACTTCAGATAACGCTTGAGCGGAACCCAGCCGATCACCAGCCCCAGTATCTGATTTGAGAGTGGTCATAAGGCTTGGTATAAGGTCTGGGAGGGCGTCTTCGCCGAGTTTTTCGATAAGAGAGCCAAGTGCTTTGGAGGCCGTTGCACGAGTCGTCGGGACAGGGTCAACGATGGCAAGTTTCAATCCAGCGACTAATATCGGCAAATGTGAGATAAGATCTTTACGTTCTGTGAGATGAGCCAGACTGCCGATAATCTGAGCTGCTTTCTTTTTGGTAGCTGACCGGTCCCCAAGTCCACGTTCGAGGATTCGCACAACCAGTGCAAGGGATGGTGCATCCAAGTAATGGATGAACGACACCTTTATCAATGCGTCCAATGCTTCGTCGGTGTATTTGGTAGGGTCGCTAAGAGCTCTGAGAAGAACACCAACAAGACTCTTCACTTCAGGGTTGCTGATCACTTCCCCAAACCGCTGAAGGCTCCGGTTTGCAGAATTGCGAACCTCCTTGTGACTGTCATTTAGGACAACTGTGAGAGGAGGGATGATGTCAGGGAGACTAACGGCAAGTTGCTGAGGGTCAAGGTATGCCATAGCTCCCAAAAGGTCGCAAGCTCCCTTTTTGCTGCGCCACTGCTGATCGTCAAGTCCGTCTAGAAGGGTCGGGAGGATTTGCTTGACACCATAAGAACTCAGATTTGAAAAGCATGTTTTAGCAGCATCTAAGCAAGCATTGCGAACATCGATGCTTGGGTCACCAAAGCTGCTCAATAGCTGCGGAACGATTTGGATAACGTATGGCTCGAATATACGCCCTAAGATCAACGAGAAGAGTTCGAAAGCCATAATGGCACCTTGTCTTTGATTCGCTTCCTTCTTGTTCTCCAAAGCATCTGTAAGGTGGGCCATAATACGATATTCTCGGAATGCCGATACTCCTTTCCCGCCAACAATACCGGCTAAACCGTATGCCGCACCGCGTCTCGATGCGTATTGTTTTGAATGAAGAAGTTGGTCAAGCATATCGCGGATATAAGAACCCGTTTCTGTGCTCGAGAGTCTAATGACGGGGGGAAGGCACTCGGCTACTGCGAATTGAACGGTTTCGGATGGGGTGGATAGAGCGGCAAGGAGTTTCCCGATAACGGTGTCGACCCGTTTATCTCCTGGCCCCCAGGTGGCGAGCTAGGGATCCGTATAAGACTACAACAGCCTCGTTGAGCCAATCCGATTGTTCACTCGCTTTATCTGACGTTTCTAATGATTGTTCAAATAGTTGCATCAGTTGTTCGACATTTTCGGCGCCTCTCAATGTGATAACAGCGCTACCACTTTCAGCCATTTGGCGTCTCACGAAAGCACTCTTATCTATTAGCGGGCCCTCATTGATCAGGAACTGAAGGAGTGTGACGATTTGGTCTTTTTGAAAACCCTTCACCATTTCCCCAAATGCTAGTGCAATTCCACTTCGAGGCTCCCATTTGTCTTGCCCATCAACTTTTTTAGGCATGCCGTAGGCATCTTTTTCTGGGGCTTTAGGTCTTACTTCTTCTCGATATTTCGATTGTAACTTTGTAAAAATATTAGTGAACACTTCTGGGCTAACTTCACAAGCATGGGCAAGTGCTCGCGCCGCTGCCCCTCGAAGTTGTGAGTCCTTGGTATCAAGATACTTGATCAAGAGATCTGCGGAATTTTCATCAACATCGAAAGCATTCTGCTCCCAAATGGCCTCCGCCGTTTCTCTATTCTCCGCTACATGGTCGTGACAACCCAGCCAGATGTACTCCGAAAAGTCAAGGTCAGTAAGATCCATCTCCGCCAAGATAGCCTGGAGTACCGATGTTCGCACTGATATCTCATGGACTATCGAAGCCTTGAGAATGACTTCAAGCTCATTTCGATCGATGTTATGGGTTATACACCTGCAAAGGTCAAAAAAGGTGTCTCGAATGATTTTATAGTATTGGGTATATTTCTGCATAGAGGATATCAAAGTTTGTAAAGTCTTAATGCGAGGGAGTCTATTGTCGGAGACTATAAAGATTGTAAGCCATCTTATCCTGAACCTATAAATGTCTATAGAACTTACACGAATTTGGGTGGAAAGATAGAAACTCGAGAGCCAGTAAAATTTGCTCTCCTTTGCTATCTTTTGACTCTTCAATTCCATCCCTATCAAGTACAATGAAAATCAAAGGGAGGATATATGATAGGGTAGCAAGATCAAATGGTCGCTGTTCTGAACCCAAACGAAGACGGTAGAGAATTCTTGCCACAAGTTCTACAGAGATTGGTCAGTTGTAAGTATTTAAAATCAACCATTTGTGGAAACCCACCCCCTAGAGGTTCATCTTCTAATGCCGAGTCTAAGTAGGTTCTCCCAAGTGCTCGCAGCGTAGCTATTCCAACAAATGGTCGTAATAACCCAAGCCTTGAGGAGATTCGATTTGAACACGCAACGTATGCCAATGAAATAGCATCCGCGACTAAGACGCCGGCTCCAGCTTTCGCCATGTCCGTAAGGCACCCGACAGCGGGATTTATCCATGTCTCGACATCAGTTGGGGGACCTCGGGCAAGGCTTTCAACAATCCCGGCACCTCTTTTGATTATTTCTTCCTCTGTTTCAACATCTTTTCGAATTTCAGCCTCTTTTACCAACTGCACATTAACTTTTGCCTGTTCATCTGCAGTCAACTTTTTCTCTTGTTGGCCTCGCTTCTGTGCAACTTGGGCCCGCAGCTCTTCCTCCCATTTCAAAGTGTCCGCATCCTTACCCTTTCCTATAACAGGTTTAGATTTCGTACTCAAAACATCCACAAACATCGTTCCTTCAGGTGTCCGGGCTATAGCAATGTCAGTTGGATCAAATTTCAGTATTCGCTTCGGATCCAGATCTTCATGAAGTTGTTTAATGAGACAGGGAATCATGATATCGGGAGCCACGAAAGCTAAATCAGCTGCAGCGCTCCATGCCGCAGATTTTCCCTTGGTTATCTGTTTTCGAATTGGGTCCTATCAAAGTTCAAGTTAAACACAACATAGCTTCCTAAAGCATTTTTTTGAAATGACGTACAGTTATAGCGTTTAGGATCTGAGACATGCACTCTTTGTATTTCTCATGAACCAATTCCCTCGGATCTATACCGGTTTTCAAAACAACGTCAATCCATTGTGTCCCTGGTATCAACAGTGGCCGGCAGAGAACGAGTAATTCAACAAGCTGGTCTTTGAGAATTCCATTGGTTATTTCGTTTTCAGGGTAACGTTCAAAGGGTGAAAGGCTGATAGCTTTGATTACGAGGTGAAGTTTTTCATTTCCAGTGCATGCACTGAAAGAAGCCGAGTCTTTATTGGAAGTATCCAGAGAATGAAGCCAATCCCACAATGTAGTTATCGCTGTTATCCCAACAAGGGCTGGATTCCCACAGTAGCATTGTTTGAAAGCACTCACTACATGTCTTCGGACTTCTGGAGGAGTACTAGATGAACAGATCATGTAAATGAAAGCCTGTCCCCATGCGTCTCTTGCGGCAAGGTCTCCAGCCTCAAACACCTTCGATCGAGCAATTGTAGACAGAGCACGTGTTTTCCATAGGAAGTCATCCGCTGAAGTCAGTTTCGTGTAGATTTTAGGATTCAGAAGGAACGAGGGTTTAGGCGATATAGAAAACGATTGCTGGAGAACCCTGTCGTACGCCAGTAACAAAGATCCGTTCTTATCTTTTTTATTTTTGAGTCGGCTTGATAAAGCAGTCATGATGAAAGCTATAGTAATAGCCCCACTCTGAACCGCAGGTAATGGGTTAGCGGCTATGTCATCAAATGTCTCCTGAAGTCTGGCAACTATTGCATGTAAGAAATCTATTTCGAGGATAGAACCAAATAACTGTTCATCCTCCAAACCCCACAAAAATTCTCCAACGTTGACCAGCCACAATTTGCGGAAGATTATTCGTTTCTCACTGCAGCCTTTCGCTATAGCTGTGAATATTTCCTTCCCAACAGGTGCTGCAGCGCGAATGAGGAAGGCAAAATGAAGGCAAAATGACTTAATCTCAGGCTCCAAGGCAATTTCACTAGCTTCGCGGGACAAGGCCGTGACGAGTCCTTCCAGTATAAATTGAGATGTATTGGTGGAAGGTGGAATAACCGAGAGTATTTGAACTTGAAGGCCACGCTGCTCGGCGTTGGTAATTTTCTGAGTTTTGAGGGGTGCCACCACTTCTTCTACTACCTTCAATAGCCAGTGTTCAGCCCTACATCTAGAAGCCAGGCTTTCAAAAGCTTTGACAGCACCAGTTCTGATAGCTGGATTTGTGGTCTTGATATTTGCTAGGAGTGGCTTGCAGAAACGAGTAAAGAATATTTCCGATATGTCGACCTTTGAGTGTATTGAGGACGCAAGGGATGGTATAACTCCGCTTAAAACAATTTCAGGAGCTCTAAGGATGGCTTTTTCCAGGGATGGCCAGACATTAACCTCAAGGTCTTCAGCAGTAGCGAATGATATAAAGAAATCGTGTAATCCTCCTACAATATGGAGTGGTAGAACTGTCCTCGATCCAACAATCTCCTTAGCATAGTATTGAAGTATGCCAATCTTTAAATCTTCCAGAATCGGTTTTCTATTAGGAATCCGGTGGCTGACCCCAGCTACGATCCCAAGAAATGGAGCATTTCTTGAACCCGATATGGCATCACTCGTCAAGAGAGGAATTGCCCGCCGTAGGATCTCCTCGCCTTTTTCCTCTGCGGAAAAAACTGCTCGCAATGCTCGTCTGGTCACGACAACAGCTGAGTGCTCCACACTTCCTTTGGTTTTAGTACGCAAACAAATTTTCGATGGACCTTGGCATCTGCGGACAAAATCTCTAAACAGACTGAAGGGAGTCAGGCATCTCGCTTAGGAGTTGTAGTAGCAGCGAACACCATTCTGCTAAAACAAAAGCATTCGTAGAAGCTATTGTCGACTTGGAACATTCTTTCTTTAATTCCTGAATGAAATATTGAAGGTCGAGGCTTGCGGTTGGAATTCGAAACAGCGCACCGAGACATTTTTGCACTGCTTGACGGGAGGCGCGGTCAACGTAAAAGGGATATGTCCTGAATAAAAGCTTCACAATTGGTCGAAAGAGGTCCTGCGAAATTTGGGATCCTTCAAAATATTAGCTTAAATCGTAGCATAACGCGATAGGTAGGGAGTTGTTACCAGACAATTTCTCATGTAGCTCATGAAGCCCATGGCAGCGACGAGCTGTTGAACCCGAGAGCACCACTCTCTCCAAATTTTCGAAACAGCCCTCACTCACGTTGTTCCTCTCAATTTCGTCCATGTCGCATGGCTCTCGCGCATGTTGGGACTAAAGAAATCAATATGGAGGTGATTGCTCGCAATGTATGGCTCTCCGTTGTTTGTCGGTTTCGGAAGAAAATAACGGCGGCGGTTTTTGTGGGGAGTTGTGACATTTATCAGTCAGCAAGTTTGACAAAAAATCACACCTCAGCCAACAACAGGAACAAAAATAACGTCCGATTGCGTATCCATGTGTAGGTTTCTCTGCCATACACGGTGGTTTATTGGTTTAATTTTGTTATTCTCTATTGATTCCCTTTACTATTTTATGCAGACTTTATATCCCACTGAGCTCTGATCTATAAATTTACGTCACTGAGAAAAAAAAGGATTTGCCCCACCATGGCCCCCAACAGGAAGAAGAGGAAGCCTGCTTCAAATCCAGCCAGAGGTTTTACAACAATCTCAGTACCATCGAAGCTGAAGGCGCCTGAATCTTCAGCATTATTTTCTTCCGCCAATGTGCCAATGGAGCCTCAGCCGGAGTCACGATCTCAAACGGCTTCCGTCGGGGCCCAAGAACAGCCTGAGCTTCAGCAGCTATCCCCAGATGAGCTCCAAAAGCACCTTGAGGATGCTGAGCTACAGCTGCTGGTGGAAAAGTATGGCGCAAAATGTAAGAATGACTCTTCTCGCCAAGTACTGAAGTTGGAGACAGAGAAACGTATCTTGCGGCCCCAGGCTTCAAATCTAAATGTTACGGACTGGCTATCTCCTGAAATTCTCAACGAAATTATGGAAAAAGAGAAACTGGAGATAAATCAATACAGTGAGCAAAGCTCTAAAGCTGAAATGGAAGAGACCCAGATATGTTCGGAAGAGGAGCTCTCCATAAAACTTTGGACTCTTCGAGAGTCGCTTCTAGGCTTGGGCTTTACACAGCTGGATGTTGAGGAAGCGCTGAAGGCTACTCTGAAACTTTCTTTCAATAATTCAGCCGCTCTTAAAGACATTATATGGGGCTTAGACCAATCTTTAGAGTGGCTTGCGATGAGTTGCGATGAGAACGATCTGCCAGCATACGACAAGCTTCGCAATAACGACTCGAAGATTGCTACCAACGATGCTAACCTCCAAACGAGTGAGCCTATCATTTCACTGTACTTGTAGAGCGTCCGCTAAATATCGATAGGTAATGCAAGCTCTACTCCATCTAGCACTGGTTATAATACATCAAGCGATACTCGCCCAAAGGATCAGGGAATTCAAGCCAAAACAGGACTGAACCTAGCCTGCCATAGCTCTGATGAGTCTGACTGTGATCCGGATTTTCTTGTTCCTAAATATGTTGAAATCCAAACGCAACTTTACGTGCAACAACCAGATTTGTTTAACCAGGTGAATAAGAGGCAAAGAAAAGGGGTTTCATCGTTAACACCAGAGAATGATAAGACTTCGCTTAACGCTGCTAAGCTTAAGAACAAACTTTCAAGGATCGAAAATGACATTTTGTTTGACCGCGATCAGGCAGAGAATATGTGGCAAAATAAACTCGCTGAGCTAAGAAAAGATACCGCGAAATTCTTACGAAATGCCGTCGCTAAAGAACAGCAAATTGAGCCGCCTCCTGCTGAGTTGAAAGACACCCAAATCCAGGACGCCTCTGACAAACTGGCCGAGTCTATATGTTCAGGCTCAAATGAAAATGATGATATGTTAGGCGGTTTGTTTGGTGCTGATTTGGAAGGCCCTTCGGCACCATCTTCGAGTTCTGGGCCAAATGGCAGCACAATCATACGCAATAGGGATTTTGGAAATCCAACGGGCATGAACCCACGACGAGTCCTCGAGGAAGCGTGCCGGGCAAGGTTTGAGAGATATCTCTTTTGTGCGGTTTTCCCTGGCTAACTTTTACCTAAAAAAGGGACTCCGGCTGTAAAATATATTACAGAGACATATCATCATCGCCTTTCTCTCATCGCAAAGAGATTGAAATTAGATGGTCAAAGGCACAGGATATCGCACCGCAACCACCACTGGGTGACATATCATTCAGAAGTGATTCGCATTTAGTATACGCATCTATGTCCTCAATATCCACTCCTACTCCCTTACAAGCTGAATCTTACATATCTACTGTGGCTCTTTTTGCAATACTTTCTCATTCTCAGAAAGAGAATAAAATTTACATGAAATTACCTGCCGTGTGGCGGGATCTATGGGACGAACTTACTCATGTTAAGAAACAGTATGAGGACGAAGTTGATAAAGGAATTCTGAAGGGCATTCAAAAGCTAGTCCAAGAGAAAATGTCAACGCTGGAGGAAGATGTTATTCTTTTAGGAGGTTTCGTGAAACGGAAAGGTGGAATCAATTCTCCTATTCCGCGGGAAACCAGTGTGTCAAAACAAACTGCCAGGACGCATGAACAGCTCCAAAATCTCTGGACGCAAAGATCCTCAACATCTTCTTTCGTTTCTATGGAATCTTTCCGAAAGACGTTACCCATATGGCAGTTCAAAGACCAGATTTTAGACACCCTTGCAAGCAAACAAGCAATAATTATCTGCAGTGAAACGGGGAGCGGGAAAAGCACTCAAGTGCCATCGTTTATACTCGAAAAGGAACTGCTATCGGGCCGTGATTGCAAAATTTATGTTACCGAACCTAGACGAATTTCAGCCATGTCCCTGGCTAAAAGACTGAGTGACGAACTCGGAGAGGATAAAAACGCTGTAGGGACAAACCGCTCCCTTGTTGGATATGCTATTAGATTGGAAAGTAAAATTTCAAGTTCGACACGACTAATATTTGCGTATGTATAGCCTACGGTGTAACCAACCATTTTCTAACAAGCTTTTGCTAACAAATTCTCCAGCACAACAGGTGTTGTCGTTAGAATGCTAGAGCGTCCTAGGGATTTCGAGGATATTACACATCTAGTATTAGATGAGGTACACGAACGTACAATTGACAGCGATTTCCTTCTGATTATACTCCGCAGGCTGATGCAGGAAAGACCAGATCTGAAGCTTGTATTGATGTCAGCTACAGTAGATGCCGCACGGTTTTCAAAATATCTCAATGGCGCCCCTGTATTGGATATTCCGGGTCGGACGTTTCCTGTTGAAGTTAAGTACCTGGAGGATGCTATCGAGATTACGAAGCATTGTCCAAACAATGATGGACTTTCTGCACTAACAGACGACGACGACGACGAGTTGCCAGACCAATCGCATGACAAGCCTACAGGAGACTTATCATCCTCTTTGGTTGGATACAGTAGGCAAACCCGGGAAGTTGTAACTGGAATTGATGAATATCGCCTAGACTACAAACTCATAGTCAGTCTCCTTTTAGCGATTACAACAAGAAAGGAATTTGAGCAATACAGCAAAGCCATTCTCGTTTTCATGCCTGGAATGGCAGAAATTCGGCGGCTAAGTGACCAAATCTTATCCGAGCCGTTATTTAACAAAAGCGATTGGGTCATACATGCGCTACACTCCTCAATTGCTAGTGAGGATCAAGAAAAAGCATTCCATGTTCCACCTACAGGCGTGAGAAAGATTGTGATCGCAACGAATATCGCAGAAACAGGTAAGCCAATTTTCTTTATTATCTCTACTCTCAACTAATTTTTACCAGGCATTACGATTCCCGACATTACGGCGGTTATTGATACGGGCAAAGAAAAAGTTATGCGGTATTTCTCAACTATTCATCCTACCCGATCAATTACTTCAAGATTAATGATGGAAATAGGTTCGATGAGAAACGACAGCTATCCAAATTAGTTGAATCGTTCATAGCGCGCGCCAACGCAAAACAGCGTCGAGGGCGTGCGGGTCGAGTACAGAGAGGCCTTTGCTTCCATTTGTTCACAAAGTTTCGACATGACAAATTGGTTCGTTTAATCATGTCCTTGTCTCAATCTATGAATTAAAACACCCGCATATATTAACGACGATCAACAGCTTGCAGAACAACAGACACCTGAAATACTCCGGCTTTCGTTACAAGATCTCATCCTTCGGGTAAAAATATGTAATTTGGGAGAAGTCGAACAGACACTTTCGGAAGCCATCGACCCTCCCTCACCCAAAAATATTCGCCGTGCCATCGAAGCTCTTAAAGAGGTCAAGGCATTGACGAATTCGGAAAATTTGACTCCACTCGGTAGACTACTTGCGAAGTTGCCTTTGGACGTCTTCCTGGGCAAGCTCATTATATATGGGGCGTTTTTTAAATGCTTAGACAGCGCTGTTAGCATTGCCGCTATTGTTTCATCTAAGTCTCCATTTGTCAATACGGTTGGCTCTAACACACAAAGAGAGCTCGCCAAACTTGCGTTTAAACGAGGTATTACATATTCTATCCTGAGTATTCTATTCTTAATATTCTAATCGCTGAGACAGGAAACTCCGATCTTCTTACTGTTTATAATGCCTATTTATCCTGGAAACGGCACCGAGGTACTCCGGGAATGAGTGAATATGCATTCTGCAGGAAAAATTATCTAAGTTCTCAAACCTTGCAGAATATCGAAGATGTGAAAATGCAGCTCTTGACATCAATTGTTGACTCGGGACTCAACCGAATCTTGATCCTGCGGAGAAAGATTCCCTTATTAGGTTCGCACAGTTTTTCCGCTAATTCTTACTCCCCCTTCTCTGATCAAGTCTAACGTCGACCAAACGCAGAGCTCGCTTTACCGGCCGCCAACGCCAATTCTTCACCGTACCCAAACGGATGGATATCAACAGCGAAAATGACATAATCGTAAATTCAGTCATTGCGTGGAGCTTCTATCCCAAACTGCTTAGCCGCAATGGAAAGGGTTGGAGGAATGTTGCTAATAATCAAACTGTGTCCCTCCACCCAACATCAGTGAACAACAAACCGGATGCTACATTGAAGTGGCTTTCATTTTATCACATTATGCAAGCTGGTACTCGATATCTAAACGCCCACGAAACTAGCCCCGTGGAAGATTTTGCAATTGCGTTACTCTGCGGGGACGTCGAGTTCAAGGTAACTAATCCGCTCCTGCTTCCTGTTATGCATCCTTCTTTCTCTCCCTGCATTTTCCCTTGCAGATGTATACTGGCTTTTTTCCACTCGATTTACTAACATAGAACGAAAGTTATACGCTGGAATAATTGCCATAGACGGCGCGCGCATTCGATTCTCTGTCAAGGATTGGAAATCAATGCTCGCCCTCAAAGCACTCACTACTAGAGTACGAAATGCATTATCTTTTGCTATTCGCAATCCGCACAAAGAATTGAGATCTAACCAGAAAGGGTGGGTTGAGTTATGGCAAAAGGTGTTTTCAGAGGCAAAGGAAAGAGAGCTTGGAAAGAATCGTTCTTTGTTTTGATTTGCTTTTCCAGATTTTCGTAGTATAAGGGAAATCTTCTTAGGATTCATCGACAGAGGAGTATGTAAAAGTTGGCTTCATTTGGCTGACAACGCCACACTGATGGGATAGTTGCGTTTTTTTATCTGTTTGGATGGAAGTGATCTCTTGAGGGTGAATATTTCGTCGGTTGTTATATTTTGTGATAGTAATATGTCCACATAATTGAAATTAGTGAGACATTAACCCACTCATTGGATGGATGTCAAACAAATGATTCAATTCTAAAATATCTAGTATGGCTATTAGCTCATAAACCTGCTGCACATGACAATGAAATTGGTTTCGTTGAGTCACATAACAAAAGATAGGAGAGGCATAAGGCAATGACATATCAAATGCACAAGAGAATGAACCCTCTAGAATCCTGGGTACAGTTACAATTCTCGTTGGAACATGCTTAGGACACTTCTCTGTTTATCCGGCGCCATGTGCAAAGCTGCAAATCGAGCCTCTGGGAGGCGACATCCAGCTTTGACGCTTTCCAAAACCCTGGATACGTACAGTCGTTAGTCAACATCTTTTAGATATCGAAATGGCTTTTACGATGACAAGTTGCGATTGAGATGAAATGTAAAAGCTCCAGATAGATATGTGCGCTTCGGTTGTATATTGGGGGAGAGGTGGGAAATACAAACCATTCAACACCGACAAACTTCAAACCCTTTCCACCCACCCGTTGTATTTCACGCTGCAGCTTCGTCGCTGCAAGACCTCCGCCAGCACCACTTTCGTTTCGATTGTTATTTGGCCTTCCGAGAATAACATGAGTAGCTGTACGTCGAGCGAGGGCGAAAGTGACATTTGCACCATTTGAAACGAGAAGATGTTTGAGTTTATGATCCGAGATGAGAGGATAAGTGGAGCCGTTGACATAAATGGTCAAGTTAGCAAATATTCCCTTGGATGTAGACCCTGGAAATTCTGGCTGAGGAGTCATATGGAGTTTGGTTTGGATAGACTTGGGAACTGAACTGGAGAAAACTGTTTCTAATTCGCTTGCTGCCGGTGTGCAAGATTTGATAGGTTCAACTTTTCTCCCTGAGCCAGCGGTATCTGGAGTATTTTGAGCTTGATCTCGATGGACCGCCGGGCAGTTCTTCTGCCTTTCGCTTCCCGGGTCACCAAGAACAAGTGTTCCGTTTCCTTTTGTGATCGCGCAATGAATCTTGTCCCGCTCTGTGGTGCACTCCGTATCTGGCCTCCCTTGCACATCTAGTCGCCTTTTCTTAACACCGCCCATTAAATTCCTTATATCTCCAATCCGCTCCTCTCTCCGTCTAATGTCATCATATTGATCTGAGGACACCCAGTCCCATTCGCTATCCGTTCCGCCGCACCCGCCGCCGCGACCGGTGGTATCTCTAAATTGCTTCCCAAGTTTTCGAGATAATACCTCTTGCCACCCGGGAGAACTGCTGCGAGAATGTTCAGCCCGTTGATGTCCCGTCGATACAGAATTCCAAGGGTCAAAAGTCCCAAGAGCGGTGGCCGAGGGAGTGGTTAATATGTCACGGATGGAAGAGGGTAGATGGCGCTTATTGCGGGACATATCGTTTGCCCTTGCTTCGAGGTTTAGCACAATATACTACTACTAATAGTATCGAGGGAGATGGAAGAGTTCATTATATTGCTGTAGTAGAGCCCTGCTGTATCCACAAAATCAAAAGATAACACAACCTCTCATTACCTACATAGTAGGTACGCAGGAGTGTTGAGTAATAGCGAAGCTGATATGTTTCTTGGTTGTCAGCCTGATATGTGGTGATGTTATCGTTTTTCCGAAAGTGGTTTAGCTGGTGGGGATCGAGCTAAATAAGATCTGCCTCTGATTAGTCATGCGTTATTATGTTTCCGATCCATCTGCTTTCTTCATTCAACGACAAAATGTTGAGAAAACTTGTCTGAGACCTCGGCACCACAACCAAAGCGTTTGCGTATATGCGCGTCGTACCTGCTTCATGCTTTGTCTGGATGCACAGCTTATACATTTCGGGGCCAGCGCCGTTCGGTGCCGATATGAACTAGATTGAGCATACCACCCAGCACTTCGAAAGATACTAGTAATAAAGTGGGACATACTGTATCTCATATCTCACATTTGATGTCCCTGTGTTCATAAGCAGACAAAAGCGTATACTCGGCTACCACCCAAATCATATTCGAAATGTAAGGGGAGCTTGGGATATGGCATTCCAAGGAAGCCAGGTTGATTGAGCTGTCACGAGCTCGTCCGATATGGTAGAAAGGCGCAGCCTAAGACATCAACAGAATATGAGCGCCTATGCTGGGCTGAGGGCCTCTTCTTTGAGTTCCTTGTCTGGCAAGTTCCCCATTTGCGTCTCAACACCCTGCTCATGACTCAGAAATGATCTGAACTGCTTTACGTACCCAGGTCCGGACTGTTCTCCTTTGTGTTGTCGAGTATTGACATGAAGTTAAGCTAAATTTTACAGCATTCTACGCGCCCATGATTGGTGGCAGGTCGTGAGCTCTTGATGTAATCCCGTTTTAGCGCAAGAACTAGCTAAAAAGGATACTCTCCTCAAGATCATAGTGGTATTAAACGACAAGAATTTTCATGTATGTCTAAATTGCATGTGGAGAGCCTTTTCTACTAACGAGAAAGAAGGTCTATGTGATCGACTATCCCCTATTCCGATTCGCGGCTCACAGTCTTTGCATTTCGCAATTGCAATTGGTGATTTGTCCAAACTACCACGTTGCTCTCGAAGGAAATATGTAAATTAGGGACCATCCAAATTCTGGCAGCTTATCGTCGATTTTTACATACAAAAGCTGTTTCTTGCCAAATACCTTTTGGTTTTGGATTCGATTCGGTCAAAATTTCCATTTCCACTCTTCTTCCCATCAGCAGCCTTGTTCCAGTGATATCATTTGGTACAGTACATGTATGCACTGTAAATCCCTGCAGCAATGAACAAACAATACACCAGTGAACCATGGGAAAATTCCTTCTTTGCCCACCGCAGAAGCTTCAACAACATTTGGTATTTCCCATTCGAAATTGATGTCCTTTCCCAGGCCCCAGGGAAGAAAATTCAATAAACGGAGCAACAATGCAGCACAAGTGGCGTTTTCTGTCCCATAGAAACTAGAGGGAAAACAACCCAACTTCTTCTTCCCGTTCTTTACGGGATGTTTCGTCCTTGCCCTTCAATGGGAGGGACACACTACGTGGCACCTGTGAGATGGTGACATTTTTGCATAGGCTACCAGTTAACCGCACCCTGTATGTGGCTCCAGCGAAAGCGCCAATCGCCATAAAGGTTGTAGCCAGATATTATTTCCATGTGCTGGAGATGGCTAAGGCAACAATGGGTTGGTGGGAATACATGTACGACATGAATATGTTACCTCCCGTTACCTTGGCGAGTAACCCACCCAATCGGGCAATAGAGTGACTTTCCATCTCGATCTATGATCGACCAACAGAGAATGTTTCGGCTGTGGTGTAAAGATATCTATTTTCTAACTTTTTTTCGCCTCGGCAAAAAAATCTCCCTCCCAAGCCTATTTTTTATTCTTGGTTCTCCTGCTACGGTTGTCCAAATAAATAAGCACTCGCGAGTTCTTCAGGTAACTCAAAGCGTCTTCAAAAATCGGGGAACCGTGGTTTTGCTGGTTTTCTTAAAATCGGATCTGTCACCGATACCTTTTCAGTTCATTTCGGAGACATATTTTATCTATTTTGCCCGTGTGTCACTCTTGACTGAGCTGTTTGGCATTCCTCATACCTCTTTAAATAGCCATATGGCGGACGAAGAGCGTCGTACGCACTCCTGTTCAACTCTGATAGTCGATTCATTGCTCCTTGGTATCGATATTTTTATGCTTTTTCGATTACGGAATTGCATTTTCAAACATCAACCAAAGGCAATAGGACAGCATGTGGGTGTTATCATTGCTATTGCAACTTTTACCTGTCATTGTCGGGGAAGTATGAAATACAGGAGTAAGTAAATCCATCCACGTAACAACGGACACCGACCTAACATGCAAACGTGGGCTGTGTACGAGCATATTTCTCTGTCTTTATATAGGATATAGTATGTAGCGGAAATATTACGCTTTTGATGGCTATGGAACTATCGTCTCCAACGCGGCTAGACTATTGGACCATTATGGAATAAGACATCAGTGGGAAACAAATGCGAAGTGACTCTCCCCGAGAAAGACGCGTGCTTTTAATGTTTGTGGTGAGTGAGGCAAAATCAAAGAGGAGTTCTGGGGGATGCCAAAGTAAGAACAACCCATATTATCAGTGGGAATAGGGGGAAATAAAACCATACTGCATTGTCTTCCCCTTGAGCCCCCCGCGCGGGAGGTTCTGAGCGTCACGCAACGCCACGAGGCAGAGTCTGTCAAACACTTTTAGCCATCAAGGCAAAAGGCGTCTGTGTTCAAAGTATATGTGTATACGTACAAGTGTTCACAAGAAACTGATGTACACATTTCAAGCATCAGACTTTGGGTATTGACAAGAGGAAACAGAGTGATGCTTTCCACCCTTTCAGCACTTGCAAAGGTCCATTGAGAGACATCTGGCGCCATTGGTCATATTAAATCTGTCATTTCACACGACGTCTCCAGTCACTCCTCCAGTCACGAAACGATGTGATCGTGGACGTAGAAGTAAAATAGGAAGAACATTGAGAAAACTGTGTCACAAGGACCACAGGTTGTCGGAAAACAACAACTGAAGATTACCATATCTATCTCACTTTATTGCTCCAGTTGGCAAAGATATACAAGTTTGGTCCAATCTGAGATGGGCGGGGGCGTAAATATGCATTGATAGGGGTTGGGCGTCCATAAGACGAAGGACTCAGGAAGCAACAGGCGAGTCTTCATTTTGCAACTCCAACCTCAGAAGCACAAGAAGCAGTGGTATCAGAACAAAATTTTATCCAGAACTTCTCGTTAACACAACACATATATACACATTGTGTATGATGGTTGACCCATTTCCTGGAAATTAAAAGCTTGTCGTTCCTGGCGATTAAAAAGTCACACGCACGACACGCGACACGCGACATGCCCTTACGCCTTTGATCTCCCTGTGTAAATAATCACAGCATATACCTCTTCTTACACGTACGGACGAGGTACTGCTCGTGTTGCGCAGGCTCGGATCCATCTTCAACAAAAGCCGAAATAAATGCAACGATTCATCACCAGGCTCCCGTCAGGCTGACCAGCGGAGTTGACCAACCGATGGCATTAAACCGGACTCTTCATAAAGTGGATTGAACATCTGTACCCCATACTTGGGCCGTGAGGGGTGTCCTGGAATCTCACAAGAATTGGTGATGGGAGACGAAGACCCATCAGCCAGACCACTTCAAGTTCGGAAAGAAGGAGGTGCTGGGGGCCACTTGGCAAGGAGCCGGGATATGGCCCAAAGAGGACATGTTCGGAAAAGCCAGTCCAACCCGAGCGGGCACTCCTGTCTTGTGATGTAACTCTTGTACTCACAGCTAGCTGCGATCTCCGAATATAAAACGCAGCTCCGTCAAATAATACAATCGCGTGAATTGAGGGTATTTTGTGGTGTTTTCAAAATGGTCCCTGAATATAGTCCTTGGTGGGGTGAGAGATTCATTCTGTGTTCGAGGCAGAGATGGAAAGCTAGGCTGGAGATGGTTTGGCGTAGCTCATGGCTCCAAGATAGGATCCGTGGCGTGGATCCGTCCTGTCGCTGCCTTGCATACTCGCATATGCATGAACGGGTCGATGCAGCTGAAACGGGGCAGGCCATCCACAAGTGAGCTCTGATTATGCTGGTTCTTCAAGTCTTGGACCAGTTGAGAAGCGACTAAAATCTGTACCACATCGGGAAGCAAGGGCGGTGGTGGGATGCACTGGTGGTGGGGTCACTAGAGTGCGCCAGGATCTTGGACTTGGGAGTTGAGGTACAAAACCTCGGAGAGGTCATCAACAAAAAAAAAAAAAAAAAAAAAAACAATAATCACGCAGTGCTCGTGATCCCGTAGTGGCTAGAGGTCAGCGGCCAAAAACAAATATCCAAAGTTGGAAGCACTTTCCTTGATCGATGTCGATATGTGAAGCCAGGATCGCTTTGACCATTATCTTGCGAATCTGAGGCGAGCTGATCGCCCACGCTAGACATCTAGAAGCACTTGAGTAAAATATCCAACGTGGTTGATTTGTTCCGTTGGCTGATGGGCGGCAGCGCATTATCAGATGATAGAGCCCCAAGCCGCAAGTTACCCTTGCAAGTAGCACGACAAAACAGCGCCAAATTCCAGGAAGATAAGCGGTAATTCTTCGGGAGTCCAGTTGGTGGAACCGTGCTGGCAGGTGAATAATACCAGCCAAGAACATCCTGGGACATTGCTAACGGGCCAAGCGACGCTTGGTGGGCAACATTCAGGGATAGTATGATGGTCAGAGTGTCACATACGTGGTTGCTTCCATCACCAGTCAATCAAGACCAGGTGCTGCGATTGACAAGCCCAGCTTTCGGGCTATCCCAATTCAGGTAGCCTGTTTGCTGGCGATCAACGAAGCCAAAAAATTATCCACCATACTCTTGCTCCTTTGTTCTTGACTTGTTGCTCCCATGATTGGAGGCAGCGTCATCTTCGCTCAAGGCCTTCCCTTTCATCCGGCCCGTCGATACATGATCCGCTTTTTCCCTCATTGACTTCACCCCTGGTTGTTGTGTGATTTGTTGTCGGCTTGTAATTCTCCCCCAGCCGCCGCCAAATGGTGCGGCTCTGGGCTGTCTAGAGACTCCAGACCCTCTTAGTGTGTGCTGTTTTGGTTAAATCCCCTTCCCCAGCATCGTGGCCCTGCCTCTTCCGTCTCAACTGCGCGTGCAGGACTCCGAATCCAACACTTGTTGACTTTGTGGGAATGAAATTTCCACAATTTTCTTGTCCCGAGATCCATCTATCGGTCTCTAGCGATATGCATCGTAATATCTGGTCGAGTCAAACGCCACGAGTACCGAGCGACTTTTACGATCGACCGGACATTGAACCTGAACCCTGCGTTAGAAGTACGCAGTATCGATTTCAAGGCTCGGGGGTTTGCTCTTCAATAGCGGTAATGACCAGCTTGCTGCTTTGATCGCAGAGTGGAGTCCTTGCTCCTTTCGCAAGGGAGCCAGCCGCCTGGAAGCCGTGGACCCTGCAAATTTCAGTATGGGATTCCAATGGGTTAGCATCGAATTGTATTTACCGTCCAATACTGCCACAAAGTCTTCACATCATTCAATGATAAGAATCCATCAGACACTGAATGTTCGAATGCCATTGAACAGCTAATGATGGGTGCAGACCGGCTGGTGCACTTCGTCGATGCATCGCATCTAACCGATACGCTAAAACAGATATTAATAAAATACAGATCGTATTTACGTCATATTTTACCAAGTTAACTACTTCGTATTGTTTGTTATTTTGGTACTGTACCGACTTTCGCTAGAGTTTTTTTTTTTTTTTTCTATACGAGAAAGACCACATCACACTTTCATGGGAAGTGATCCTGGATTGTCAATGATGGCGCGACAAGTAATCATACTTCCCAGGAAGCTGCGCAGTCTCTGTATCATTAGTAGATCCCTTTGGATAAGTCTATAGACGACAGGTTAACGTTCAGAATAAAGCGACCTTAACTTTCTACACCTGGTGTATGTTACCATTGTAGGAAAGAAGACGAGGACACACACACCAGGGATGGAGTTTAGGGAACTGAACCTTCCACGGCTCCGTGTTCTCATTATCGTTTCTTAGAATCTTGCAACCGGAGGGGTAGTCAGCGTGGGTGCAACGATGATAGATGATGATAAATTTAGGCGGGGCATCATCACTTTAGTAATGAGCTCCACCTTATGCCTTGAATTATTGACAGGGAATTGTGATCACGAACAAGCAACGAGACTCCAATGCCCTCCCAAAAAAAATAGGCTAGTAATCGAGTACATGATTACGGGTCTTCCGCGTTCGCTCTCGAGGTCGGATGTCTGCGCGGAGGCGGAATGTCTTACAGCTCTATCCGCTCACCCATGAGTATCCTCGAAAATTTTAATGCTCCTTAGATATACAACCCATGGAAAGAAAAGCCGCCGAGGCTCAGCAAAAGCCCACGGACATTAGAATCCGGCTATGCTTTGGACCACATGTAGTTGATCGCTCGTATCCCCAGTGGATACAGTTGGTGCGAAATTATTTCCTCAAACAAAGTCTTCGCCAGATTGCAAAGCAACTTTGGTTCTGATAACTAACTAGCCTATACGTCACTGAGAACTTTCCGCTGCTCTTCATACGAACTTCTTTCCCGCATAGCTTTAGATGACAAACATGAAAGCTTGAGAGTTCCTTGAATGGCAAACTAATGGCTGTGCGTACGGGGATATCTCACCCGGAGGCCCAATGTCTGCACCTGCATGCATCAATGCGGTCATCAATCAAGCCTAATTCCAGTATCACACTTGCGCTTACATACCCGACAACCCCCACAAAATAATGCAATGCGAGGTTAATTCCACTCCCTGCAGCTGACAAGCAATTCCGGCGGGCTCTTCCAGCTTCCCCTTGCAGCAGCAGCGAGTTCCTTAGTTGTGGTCCTGGCGATGCCACAAGGATGGACGAGACGGAGCCATGTGGATTGGACCAAACAGCCGATAAGTAGGTCAACTCAATTGATCATACCAACGAACTTGCGGACGGTTCACATGTACTGTACATCGTACTGTACATCGTCCTGTACATGTGTTTCTCCCCACCACGGCTTATGGAATCGTGTTTCCGAAATTGAATGCATAAGAACAAGATATTTAACTTAGAGCCTCTCAAGCCCAAGGAAGCAAAAATATAACCAAGTCATTGCTTTTTAACTCCATTTCCTCGACCCACAAACAAAGGGAAACCAGCAATATTCCCTCAGATCATACCTGGCTATATAAAGTGTGGATGGTTGATTACCTTAAGGATCTCCACTTGAATAAACTACAATGTGTATTTTCTTCATTCTCATTTACTTAGAACGTGCTGCAGCACTACCTCGTAGCTATCTATCGAAACCTTCCGACTGGCCACTTTGGTCCACATTGAAAACATGTACCTCCTATCTGTATATCTACATTTATCAAGTTGCTTATCTTGGATGTGATTCATTAAGTTGCTCCCAGTTCCTTTGCCTACTCAAGTTATTTCCCTATGGGAACGTTGGACCGACTTAGTTGATAAAGTCTTTGACTGAATCTGTACCGATATTTTTACCTGCGCTTTGGCATATGCAAATATGTATTGTCCATGCTCCGATAACGATCTCTCTGATTAGAAAACCCTCAAGATTTGGCTTCTAAAATTTTCGTTCAATAAACTGTCTCGCACAAATTGAAAAATGAAGATTGGAGTATATGATTAGATTACCCCTGGTTGAGCATTACGACTATCACCTCGTTACAAATAGGAATGGTGCTTCAGAAGTTTGGGGAATATGTCAAAGATTTTTTTTACAGCAGCAACAACCAGGCACCATACATGACCACCTACATAGCAGAATGGCATTCTTAGAAAATCAGTCATTCGGTTCATACACAAACAAAATCCAATCCAGTTGAGAGCCATGGTATGAGGAAAATGCTTCCGTGGAATAGGAACATACTACCTAGTCAACCTAATGCTCTTTTGAAAAGAATTAAGTCGTATCAGTTTCGTGCCGCTCTAGTCCCAATTGAAATATCAGGTCAAAGGGACAGCACAGCGTCTTTTCAAAAAAAAAAAAAAAAAAAAAGTGAGACACACTCATGCAATCGTGAACAAAGAAAATGGGTCGCCCTGGGTCGATCTCAAGACTGGTTGGTACTGGTAATTAGGGTTAGGGCTCAATCCCGTTCGCTTTGGTTACCTCACCTCTGTG